CTCAGGCCCAACCCAAGGAGGGGCGCCCTCTGGTCCCTGGGTGATGGCCTCACAAGCAGGCTGTTCTCAGGCAAACGCAAGGAAACACCAGGGGAAGCAGTTAACGGATACTTTGCAGATTCCCGGGCTGCCTCCTTGGGCCCCATCGGCTGGGTGTCTTTAAACAGAGGCTCCTGGTTTGAGGACCCGGCCTGGGCTGTGGTGGGGAGGCTGGGGCTGGGCTGCTTCCTACAGATGGCTTCCGGATGGGCCTTGAGAGGTACCTGGTTTCTTTCATGCCAGTTTTGAATTACGGTGGTTACATTTCAGATAAAGACATTGCCACTTCACTGGTTGTCCCTGGGCTGGGTGAGTGGAGACTGCTGATGGACAGGCCATCCCTCCTTGCGACAGCCCTGTGTCCTGAGACTGGCCCTGGCTGGAAAATCTGCCTCTGAACATGGTTATGTTTCAGGGCCTTGGAGCAGTGCGGCGTGTGAGGCAAGGCCAGCTGTTGGTGCTCGCTCTGGCGAGATGGAAGCAGGAGTGTGGAGGCTGGTGTAGAAAGCCCACCGCAGCCTGCCTCCATCCCCACCTGGCCACCCGGCCCCCACAGGGCACTGGGGTACTGTGTTGGGCTTCCTACCTGACTCAGGCCAGAGGATCCCGGGCAGGATAGTGCCACCAGCCAGCAGAGAAACTCACTTCCTGGGTGTGACTCACTCTGCTGACACAACTCGGACTCAGGCAGCGCAGGGGGAAGATGGAGAGGCAACGTTATCTCCTTCCTTTCCCCTGGATGTGCCTGTTTCCATTCGAGAGTTTAAATTTCATTTATTATTAAGCAGCAGTCAAGAAATCAAACGATACATCGTGCTTGGCAACTCTGCTGCATGAGATGTCTTTACCGTGCTCAAAGGCAGAAATGGCACTTGGAGGATTGCGGTGTACCCGACCCTAACCTTGTATGCACACAGAAACTGGACCACGAGGAAGGAAGACCAAGGAGGAATGGATGGATGCCTTTGTCTTACCGTGTCGGCAACGAATACTGGATACACTGTGGATGGCCAGGGGAAGGAGGGCATCCATCCTTAGCGTGGAGGGTGCTAAGACTTGCCCTCGTGTACGTCAGCCCCGTGGTCAGGGGGACCAGTCCTGGAGAAGGGACAGCTTGGTCAAGTGGAGGGTGGGTGCAAAGAAGAAAGGCTTGTGGATGGATGGCCCAGTGCCTGTCACGGTGGGCTTCACTGTGGTAGTGCTTGTGAGGACAGTGCAGGGCTGGCTGTGAGCAGAACAGAGGCAGGCCCCTGACAACTACGGAGAAGTGGCTGTTCCCCTGTCTGCTGTGCTGGAGCACAATGGCTCGTTCATAAACATCAACACCCTTTGAAACCGTAAAGCAAGGCCTTAGCATAAGATCAGTACTAATTATAACTGTGTTACCACATCCCAAACCAAATGTGCCGCCACCAAATCGACCCTCACTCACAGGAGGACCCAGGGCAGCCCAGAGCCAGCTCCTCGCGTCCCCAAGGCTGTAAATCTCTGGAGCAGGGCGCCTCATCCGTGTCCCAGGAGCAGCCAGTGGATTCCAGCTGCCGACCTTTTGGTTAGCAGCCTGACGGACGCCCTGCTGTGCCGCACAGTACGCATGACACAGCCCCGCATGTCTGCCGAGCAGTGGCAGGTGGCTGCCACCCAGATGGCTCACAGGGCCCTGCACACAGCAGAGCACAGCACTGCCAGCCTGGAGATGGCCTCGCTGTCACTCACCAGCATTTTCAGTCCTAGCGCTGGAGCTGCCGTGCCTGCCACCTTCCTGAGTCTCCTCGCCCTCGCTGCCCCAACCCCGCTCAGTGTTCCCTTCTGGTGGTGGATCCCTCTGATGTGCTCTGTGAGCCCTGTTCATTGCCTGATTTTCAGCTGTTTGTCTCTGGAAGCCTCACTGGGAACTGTCCACCAGGGGTGACTCTACTGGGATCTGAGGCCGTCGCCGCCTGGCCTGGCTGCCAGCCTCACAGCACCCTTCAAGCCATCGTGGGACGACATGCCCACGGCCGGGGTGTGGCGGAGGCAGGGCTCCCTGGAGCTCTCAGGTGTGGGTTCAGGGGCCGAGACGAGCAGGGGCTGTGGAGCAGCACTCGGCCATCATCAGCCCCAACTGGACAGTCCCGCCTGTAGGACCTCTCCTCCTCCACCATGGAACTTGGCGCTTCACTCCCGTGAGTGGCAGAGAGGAGGGGTGAGAGTAGGAAGAAAGACCTGCCCATCTACTTCTGAAAACTAGCCGATGAGAAAGGGCCACAGGAGAAGGAGCCTGCCTTGCTGGCTGCACTGCCCTCAGGGATAGTGGTGGTAAGGAGCGGCACCTCCTTGGTGCCCACCATCACAGAGTGAGTGTCCCCAGGGTAGCCCTTCCCCGTGGCCCTACCCATCCCAGGAATCATTTCAATCAGAAGTCCTCTGCAGGCCAGAGAGGACATGCAGGTGCTCCCTGACCGTGGTGGTGCCTACAGTGGGGCACTGCACTGGTGTGACAGTGTTCTTTGCACATCTCAGCGTATCTGTTCTCTGGAGGCTAGATGCCGCCGCCAGGATTCAGGGCAATACTGCAGGTCAGATGCTGGCCAACGAGCTACAAGACTGAAGTTTAGACCCACCAGCTGCTCCTCTGGTGAAAGCTGAGGCTGCCTGCTCCGTAGAGCCTCAGTCTCAGAGACCCTACATAGGGTCACCCTGAGTCCAAATCCACCCTCAGGGCCTGTGGTGTGGCCCCGAGGGTTGTGTGCTCCCACCTCTTCCCATGCTGCTGCTCTGCATGCATGTTCCCTGGTAGGACCAGGTGCCTCTGAAGAAAGGCCTGGTGATCCCCCGAGAACCCTGCAGCAGCTCTGCTCCATCCATGGGCTCTCCGTGCCCCAGAGTGCTTCCCCGCCCCTGACTTTTGGACAGTGGCTGTTACGGTGACAGGAGGTGCTGCAGGAGCTGGGGCTCGTGGGTTGGTGGTTTTCAACACACCGGCATCCTGTGTGTCCCTCCAGTGGTCTGGTGTGCCTCAGGCTGGCTATACCTCCCTCCATGCAGTTGGCTGGCCCCTCGTCGCTAGCACAGCAGTTCCTCTAGGAACGGCAGGGCAGGGTGTGCACAGGCCCCAGTGAATGGGCACAGAGAACGGGTGCGGTGTGTGTGTGTGGGGGGGGGGGGAGCCACGGGGACACCCACACCAGAGTGCTGGGGTAAGTTCACGTTGTGGTGTTTTATCACGCACTGCTGGCTCCCCTCAATTTAGGGCCGAGTGTGGCTCTTCATGACTGGGTGTGGCCGGCCTCCTTCCTGCAGCCACCTGTGCACCCTGCTCTTAGAGGTGTGAGACCCGGGGGTCACACGCCTCTTCCAAAATATTCTCCTCACAGGTCGCCGCCATTAACCCGAACCACCCGCTAGCCCAGATGCCCTTGCCACCATCAATGAAGAACTGCATCCAGCTGGCCGCCTGTGAAGCCAGCGAGCTGCTGCCCATGATCCCCGACTTGCCCGCCGACCTCTTCACGTCCTGCCTCACCACCCCCATCAAGATTGCCCTGCGCTGGTGAGTCGCCTGCGCGTGTCCCCTCAGCAGGTGGCACCCATGGGGTCTCACTCAGAGCTAGCAGCTAGTTCCACCGTGGTGGTCAGTGTGGGTGCAGTGGGCAGCTTCCATGTCTGCTCATTTGGGGTGGAGCAGAACTCTCCCTTCAACAGCACTGCCGGGGAAAGCCTGGAAGTCTATTTCAAAAAGTGGACACCTGTGGGTGCTGTGAGCCTAGCTCTCTGTGAGATGCAACAGCTGCAATGGCAGCTCCAGACAGAGGGACAGACAGTGAGGCTGATGTCGTTGGGGGATGGGTGGGAGTGGGGGAGCTCTTTCTTCCTGGGCTCTGGGCTCTGGTGCTGCTGGAGCAGAAAAGCCACGGGGGGGTGGAGGGGGGTGGTTCTCTCAGTGTTGGGGCCCACAAGTTGAAAAACAGGTGCCCTTGGCTCTGGAGGAAGGTCCCTTCCCTGCGTCCCTGTGGCTGGCATCCATTGTGTTGCCACGTCCCGGCTCTGTGCTGCTGGCTGGCTGGGTGTTCTCATGTGCTTATGTTTGAGATTCACTCAAGCCCCACCCACTAGCCCACCTCAGCACCAGAGGCAGCCCCAGCCCCCGCCATGGGATTCCCATAGCCCAGGGGTCAGTTCCATGAGGGCCATACTGCCCCCGAGAGCAGGCCCAAACCTGGGGTTTTACTGAGTTGGTGCAGGGGCCAGGCTCCTGCCCCACCCCCAGGACCCGCAGGTGGACAGCTAGACCAGGAGGACTGTGACTAAGGGATGGGCTCGGGGAGGGCTTGCTGCGCAGGCCGGGGTTGTGGGAGGTGGGAGCTGCTGCTTCTGCTCCTGTGGCCAGCTCACGGGAATGCAGACCCTGTGGACGTGTGGCCCCAGGGACTTCACTGTCTATTTTCTGAAGTGGATTTCCAGGATTTTGTGCCTAGTCTGCTTGGGTCTGGAAGACTCGTTCAGCTGGACGCTGGTCTCCCAGGACGCTGGGGGTGGGAGGGCTGGGGACGCTGTACTCTGAGGGGCTGTGGTGAGGTGTGCTGGCCAGGAACTGAAGCCAGGTCTCCCAAGTGAAAGTTGAAGTGTCCATCCCACCACTGAGCCCCACCCCTAGCCTGGCCCTCCTGCTGCAGGAAGGAGGCTGGATTCACCTGCCCCACTCCCCAGACCAACCACTTCCATCAAACCACTCCCCCAAGACCACCCCTCACCCCTCTCCCCCTCAGTTTGCCCTCCTCCGGCTCATCTGGCTGACAGAAATAAGGTGAAGCCCGGGCTCCCTCCACCTTCCTCCTCCTCCCAACTACACAGCGCGCCCCACCACCCGCCCACTGAGTGCAAGCTTTTATAGGCAAGGAGAGGGGGGGAGGCATGTCCCTGAGCTGGGCAGAGCCATGTTGGGCACTGCGGGTGGCACCTGCAGCAGAGGAACAGCTGGGCCTGGCAACCCGAGCAGGAAGGTCCCTGAGGAACCAGCACGGGGGCAGCCAGACGGGACGGAGAGCGGGAATGGGAGCTACGAAACAGGAGGGCTGGAGAGGGAGGCTGGGCGGGGTGGTGGCTGCCTGGGCAGCAGCTGGGTCCTTTCAGGAGGGAGGCTGTAATCACATTGCTCGAAACTAAGCATTCATAGGAGGAGCTGCGGAGCAAATCACACTCATGCAGTACCCTCCGATGGACTCTGAAATCAGTACCTTGCAGCTCCAGGCAGGCCTCACCCGGGAGGGGCATCTCTTACAGTAAAGCACTTTCTGCCCCAGCCGAGGCTCAGAATGAGTGGCCCGTGGGTCGGGAAGAAGGACCCAGCGCTGCGTGCCTCCTTTGTGACGTCCGGGCGGCAGAGCCCGGCTTGTCGGTGGCGAGGGGCAGCATCTGCGGGCTCTTGCCCCGCTCACTTAGGAAGAGAGCTGTTTCCCTTAAAAATGCAGCGTCCGTCCTTGGTGAGGAACCACCTGAGTCTCGCCATCCAAGGAGAGCTGGCTGCCGCTTGTCTGTCCGTCCGTCCGTAAGGCGTGGCTGGCGATCTGCTGAATGGTGGTTTCCTACTTGGGCCTCTTGTGTAACCCTGTCGTCAGGTGCCGGCACCCTGATGTGCACAGAAGGGAGCACCGTCTGGCCCTGGGCCGTCTCACGGTTCCTGTTGTGACTGAGCCCATTGTTGTAGCCACCTGCCAGCCCGTCTCGTCCAGGTTCTTCCTCCTTTTGCTGCTCCTCTGTTTTAACAAGCTTGACGTCGTCTTTTCCGTGGGCCACTCTACTCTGACAACGTGTCGAAAGTACGTGAGACAAAGTCTTGCCATCCTTGCCTCTAAGGAGCATCCAAGACAGATAGCCCCATGTTTTTGCCCGCCCCATAATTCAAATGCGTGGGTTTGTCTTCAGCCTTCCCCGCTCCCTTCCCAACTCTGGCGTGCAGGTGAGGGGATTGCAAAGACCGTGGCTTGGGTCAGCTGCACCTGAGTCCTCAGAGCCCCGTCCTTGCTTCAGTACTCTAGAGAGTCCGGGCAGCAGAGTGACCCCTTGATGACGGTCACACTGCCACGGAGCTCTCCGACCAGGCCGGGGCTCACAGAGTCTGCTTCACACTAACAAAGCACATGCCTGTGCAGAGCCAGGGCGGAGGCTCCCTCCTGCACACTGCTGTCCTTGGGGTACCACCAGGAGACAGCAAAGTTGATGGACCCCACAGCAACTGAAGCAGACTGTCAGAAGCCCTGCTCCCCACTGGGGAGGGAGCAGGTGAGGATAGTGGGCCTCTGTCTAGGAGCCGGCCCTCCCCTGCCCTGTGCTGCTATGGGAAGAGAGGGAGGCAAGTGGGCAGCAGCACCACCTCTGTCTGGGGTACCACACCAGGCAGATTGGGATCTGAGGGAGGCCCACAGGTGTGCTCAGAGCAATAGCAGAGCCCCTAGGGAGGCAGCTAAGACAAAGACTAGCTGTACAATAAAGGATTCCAGAGCTGGGCTAAACAGCGGCCTTCTGGTACTGCCTGGGACCCACAGAGCTGGAAGCAACGTGAGGACTTCTCACCGAAGGGGAGGGAGGAAGAGGGGGAGAGAAGAGCGGGGTGAAGAGGGGAGAATGGCAAGTGTGAGCCCTCCAGCCCTGAGAGTCGTGAGGACGGACGGCACGTGTCCCACCAGGAAGGGGTTGGTCTTCCTCTCCCTAAAAGGAAACGGTGGAGAAGAAAAGGTTCATAAGTTGGCAGAAGTAAGCTGAAGTTGCGCTGACCGGACGGTGACTCGTGTTGGGTGCGGCAGTTTCTTCCCGTGGGACTCAGATGGAAACAAAGCGTGCAGGAGGTTGGCGTGTCAGGATGTGCAGAGCACTGCAGTGGCAATCCTAGTACGGTGGCAAAGGAGATGGCATGAAGTGTCAAGCCGAGTGGGCGCTGTGGAGGCACTGGCTCCATCCCACCTGGCAGCCTGGCCCCGAAAGGACAGAGACAGCAGTGATGCTGGGAGACACCGAGCCCCCAGCAGATGAGAGCGAGAATGGGAGAGGATAAATGAGCGAGCTCATGAGACTGCCCGCCAGCAGGATGGTGGGGTCATTCTCCCCAGGCAGAGAGGAGCTGCGCATAGGCCGGCAGTGTGAACTGCCGACCTTGCCACTGCTCCTGCTGTCCAGTGGGGCTCCATAGTGAAGCTTTCAGGGTGGCTGAGGGAGGTGGAGTGTGGAGGGCCGGGCCTGGGGCAGAGGGTGAGCTCACCAAGACTGACTCTTGCATGGGGAAGGAAAAGGGGGCACGGCTACTGTCCTGTGAAGTGCTGATCCCCCGGAAAGAAGTCCAGCAGCTGGAAGTCGTACTCTTCCCGGAGAAGCCTTGTATGACAGAAGCCAGACCCAACCACAGATCGTCTGACACACGTCTTCCAGCCCCAGTTTAGGATTTAATGCAGTTAGTCAGGGAACAGATTGAAAAATACAAGAACAGCCAAGTGTTCCGCTCGCAGAGCCAGGGGCAACAGCAGCAACCAAAAGGCTGTGAGAGAAGGAAACACGATGGGGGCCGCCCTTCCTGCTCGTGGGGCGGGGTGCCCATGTGTTTCTCCAGCGTCTCCCCACATGTCAACCCCGCCCCATACACACACCCAGCCAGCTTGAACTGTACTCTCGTCTCCACTCCCCCTCCAAAAGCCCGCCCACCCCACGCTCTTCCTGTGCCCGTGCCCACCCCACCTCACCCCACGATTCACCCTGCCCCTGCCAGGGTCTGGTCTGGTCTGTCGCACAGGCGTCTGTCCACCCTGCTGCAGGAAGGTGGTTCGTTACTGGTCCAGCAACTTCCCCTCGTAAATATGAGAGGGCCTCAGAGAGTGGGAAATGGGCGAAAAGATGATAGGATTTTCACACAAACTTTTTGAAGCCCCTCGGATTTGGTTTAAATCATCGTAAATTGTGGTGATCATAATGAGCACCATGTCTGCCAGGAGCTGCTCTGACTGCCAAGCTAATGAGCTCCTCTAGGTCTCCACCAGGCTGGGAGTTGGGGTCCATCACTAATCCTCCACCAAGCTTCACCAGCCCCCCACCAAACTGGAAACCGGGGACTTGCTCACTACCAGCCGGGGGCGCAGCCTATCCCACTGTCACTAACACTGCAGCAAGCTGTGAACGTGGACGCCGCTCGCTCTGTTGTAGGAGGAGAGATTGAACTTGTATGGGAACTGCTTAGGCGCCCTGATGATGCCATGGTGAAAGCACAGGGCTGCTTCCTGAGTGGTCAGTAGTTCGAGGCCACAAGCTGCTCCCTTAATGCCGGATCCCAGGACACCCTGTGGGCAGGCCTCCTGAGCTCTACAGGGTCGATGTGGTCCACGGCAGGGCTGGGTCACACCTGGTACTCTGGTACTCGGAGATCACCGCTCGATGGCTGTGATCTCGCGCTTTCCCAGCACCGCTTTCCTTGCTCCCTGGTGTCCTTCTCCACCATGCCGGCGTGGTGGGGCCAAGGTGAACGTGCGTTCACCCCGAGGCCTGGCTTACGGGGGATGCTGTCTCTGAGCG